TTTTTCTTTTTAGCTGTTTCGGTGTACACACCGAAACAGCTCTTGTTAGCTGTTCCCAATTTCAATTGGGAATCTTTTTCTTTTTCCACTTTTTCCCATAGGTTTTGTACACGTTTTTATTCTACAAGCCACTTTGGCAATTATTTTAAATTTGATCAACTTTAAACTCAGCATAGTTATTAACCATCATCTGAGGATGTGTGCCGAAACTTTTGGTCGTGCTGACGTCATCACTTGATTTATTATAGAATTTTGAATATTTAATTTTTCCCATAGACTTTGTACACAGAATTTTTTTTTGAAAATGTCAATTTTGAGAGGGCATTTTCGACTCTTTACCAGTATTTCATTTACAACACTCTTTGTCCAAGCAAAGACCCTGATTTAAACAACTTTGTGTAATGATGACGTCATGATGACGTCATCCGGTGTGTATTTATAGGCAATTGAATAGTGACACTTTTAATATTTAAAAATGCATAAGAAATCAACCGTACGCGTCCGAAGCATTCTGTTGCCGGCAAGTGGTGGAGTAGGTTGAGATCTTTATTTCATTCAGTGTGCGTGCAATCGCGTGACCCTTGCTTCCGGTCGAAAAAGGCGAAAACCGGAAGTGGCTTATTATTTGAAAGTGGTAATAGATATGAACTTGCTTTCAACGGTGTTAGTCTCTTGGCTGAGAGTATTCTTTAAATTATCTACCGATGACGTCATGCAATCTTCGAGCGCCCTTTAGCGACAGGTTGAAAATTATCAACAATGTATTTTGAATAGATGTCTGTGGCGAAGCTCCAGGTTGACAATAGCTCTGCTATAAAACATTTACAGGACGTCCACAATGTACATGTACATGTTTCCTCTACTGCGTGCACAGATGACTTTGCGTGCGCCCCATACGCGTTGGCACTGTGCAAGCGATCTACTGCCCTCTACTGTTGACAGTTTTTGTGTACGGCCGGCCCTGTTGACAATTTTTGTGTTCGGCCCATAATGGTGATCTGCTGCCCTCTATATAGTGCCCAACAGTATAACTTATACAATGTAGAGACGCTACCGCTGTCATTTATTACTGCTCTCTACCATATGTATTACAATTTACAGCAATATTTCTTTTAAATTGAAAAACTACACCAAAGGCACTGATAGACTAGGAACTCCCTCCATTGTGTTATCGTGTATTTGCAAATGTTATCACAGGTGTTTAAACAAGGTTCCTTTTGTTCCCCTAAGCCTATTCTTATTTTGCTGAACATTGCGAAGATTAAGTGACTATAACATAGTGAATAAATGATACTTATTTATCTGATTGTTCACAGCTGCATCTCAAAACAAAATTATCCACGTGTAACACAGATTGTGATTCCAGTTGAAGTATTGGCATTTATTTTTCATAGTAGAGTCCAGAAATACAATCAATTGTGTTTTGCTAAATGATAAATGACTAAGTTATGAGATAAGCCATAGAAATTGTAGTCACACAAATAGAAAAGCATCTTAAAATCAGCATATTTGTCATGGAAATTACAATCAGTTTTATTACAGATAGAAACAAGCCCAGACATAGTTTCAACTTTGAGATACTCATATGCATGTACAATGTATTTGTGTAGGGTGCATGCATTGTGCTGCAGTAAAGCTGAAGTCCTCACGTTTCAATTCATGCATATGTGAAAGTTGCATATTACATGTACATAATTAATTGGTAGAGACTACAATAGAAAATTGTACTTGATATGTTTTTGTGTTATTTAAAAACAAATCTTTGTGAAAAATAAAAATGAACATTCAAGTCAATGTTTTCTCTTTAACAAAGTTATTATTTTGTACTGCCTACAAGTTTTGTAAGTCACTGTGTATCAACCATAAAGTGAAAAGCTGAGTATTCAAAATGATTGTAGAAATAAATCCACAAACTATTTACATGACTTCACATTTTAATTTCATTTTCTGCTATGCCAAGACAGAAGGTTGACTTCACCAGTGTTTATAACAATGGTTTATGGCTAAGCATCAACACAAATTAAAATGAGTATATGTGATTCTAATTTGAATAAAATAACCTCCAAGTACTGTATGCTTGATTCTCTTCCAAATCTTGTCGGGAAAGAAAACATTGCTTGTTTGACACTCAAACTGACACATTTCTGCTAACTAATGCATGGCTATGCAGGCTGGCAAGTGCAATCTGTGATCTTGTACAACCAAAATTTTGCTTTTGAATAAGCATAATAGGTCTCTCTCAAAAATGGCCATCTCTGTTGGAGAACTGCATCTGCGTATTCCATGCACCCAAGCATGCTTTGCGCATTGTAGAAAATGTTTCAAACACAGCACGCCCACTTGTTGCTCAAAGTGTGTGCAAAAAATTTGACATAACCCATGGTCATGACGGAAAAATGCCGATGCATGTGGCTGGTCTGTAGGAAATGATGTCATTTGACACAGAGCTACAAGATAGATCCTGGTCAAATCTTTGAAGTATAACTTGGAATCTTTATTTGTGTGACACTTGTGACATTTGTTCCTTAACCTATGCAATGTTGTTTATTAGATAAAATAAACCAAGTTGGTATTAGTTAGTAATCAGTATTGGAACACAAAAACATCTTCATTACTCTCCAAGCAAACACCAATGTAGAACACAAAGAACATTGGGCATGGGACTGCTGGTGGATGACTACTTGTCATCCACAACACACTCGATGGCAGGTCATATTGCTATTGGAACACTAGAATTTGTTCATTACTCTTCAAGCAAACACCAAATGTAGAACACAAACAGCAATGGGCATGGCGTTGTTTACTTCTAGAGTTGTTGACAGATGATTGGAGGTCATCCACATCGCACCTGATGGCAGGTCATAAGAGCACATCAATGACTGCAATGGGATTTTACACTGAAAAAAAACATGAAAGAGAAGATTGCTATGAAAAAGAAATGTTGTGCATTTCATTTGGTGCGTAAGTTGGACGACAGTGTCATTAATTGACCTTACAAACTTTTGTTGGTAAACCAATATTCAGAGCAATATGTTGTAGTCCAGTCCATCACAAATCCCTTCAAAAGTTTACTGACAACTTCTTTGCTAACTGCAGTCTATTCATCACATTGGGTTGCATCGAAGTGATGTGAATTCAAAATTGGGTTTAGCCGTTATCACCGACATATTTTTATGAATACATCTAAAAGTGTTTATGAAAATATATAAGTGAGGACAAAAATCCAATTATGTATGGTTACAAATGTAGTTACAAATCAAGGCAAAAGTCAGGGATGAACAATGATAAGTCACAGGCCACAATGAATTGCTGACAGCCCGCAGATGACAACACCCACCCTCAAGTGTTGGAGGTCTGGCAGGGAGTGTTGTGGTTCACACTCCATCTTGTCGAAAGTCACAGGCCACAATGAATTGCTGACAGCCCGCAGATGACAACACCCACCCTCAAGTGTTGGAGACCTGGCAGGGAGTGTTGTGGTTCACACTCCATCTTGTCCAAAGTCACAGGCCACAATGAATTACTGACAGCCTGCAGATGACAACACCCACCCTCAAGTGTTGGAGGTCTGGCAGGGAGTGTTGTGGTTCACACTCCATCTTGTCCAAAGTCACAGGCCACAATGAATTGCTGACAGCCTGCCGATGACAACACCCACCCTCAAGTGTTGGAGACCTGGCAGGGAGTGTTGTGGTTCACACTCCATCTTGTCCAAAGTCACAGGCCACAATGAATTACTGACAGCCTGCAGATGACAACACCCACCCTCAAGTGTTGTGGGAGTGTTGCAGGGCGTGTTGCGGTTCACAAATAACTGAAGTGTATGTTCATCACAACTTGGTAATGAAATGCATCCCGCTGGTGAGGAGACCATAGAGCTGGGTCCTTACTATGTGATAAGACACACAGATGTACAGGAGTAATAGTGACTGATCTAGTTGAAACTATCATGCACAAGAGTCAGAGGCAACACAACAATACTGAAATACATTTCATTGTCTTGTTTGATCACCTCTCAGTCAGCAAGTGTGGTGATGAGACATATCATAAGGACTTGTGTGGTTACACATAGACCATGTACACTGTACATACATCAAGTATATATTCTCTAAAATAATACATTTAATGGTTACTATTACGTCATGACATTAAATTCACATAATAACAGCAATGTTTTTTTCATAGCACAGTACAGGCGTTCAATCGGTCAGTTACATCAGCGCATTTTTTCCATCGATGACAAAATAAAATGTATTGTATGTGTAGATGTTTTATAACATGTTTCAGTATCAGATCGTCACACAATGTTGAAAATGTTGTCACTTACCTTGACAGTGATGGTATCAACAGGGTGACATTATTAATCATGTTCTGTGTACATGTATCAGAGAAACAACTACATGTATTTGACTGTATGCATGGCAATCTCTGCTAGAATTACCTACTTTATTAAAACTATTATAAAACGTTCGTTATTATGTATGTCTAGCAATGATTTACTGTTGTTCATATGCCTCATATTGATCACTTACCTCAATAATGTAATTTTACTTATAATTTTTATTTACTTTATGGGTCAATACCTACACTTTATCTAGTGCATTCTTGTCTCATTTACCATAGTTGTTTCTGTGTGTCATTCTTGTCTTCCATGCCTACTTATTTATTATTTACAGTTGTCATCAACCTCCACAATTCACTTGTCATTGTACTCTTTTTAAGTAAAAGTTCCATGATGCATATTTTATTTTTCTAAATTCAACTTAAGAAGTTTATTTTTTGTAATTTATATCTAAAACCCCATCTCATCTTTTTTTAATTGTGAGAATACATGTATTAATGTCATTTGGGCCTTATGCTACATACAGGTCTCTCTCTGCAGGTATGTACCTGTAGTGTCATTTTAAGATCAATGACTACACTTCCAAATGCTCAAATAACTACATTGTAGCACACCAACAAATATAGTTTCAACACAATAGATATTCACAAAAACAAATTCACAATTTAAGTATCACTGCTTCACGGTAGCTGTAATATGTTGGGCTCACATAAGTTTCAATGACGTCTATGTTCCTGACATAAACATGATCAAGTAAAGTGCCATTCTCAGTAGTAGCTTCAGTCACACATTGCTTATATCCATGATCATGCATCACTTTCTGAACAGAAGACTGTTTCATGATATCTTCATTGAAATCACCCATGACAATGCACTTGTTTGACACCTTATGTAGCTCATTCAGCAACATTTGAAAAATTGGTAGAAATTCATTTAGAACATGTGAAGCTGGTCGATAAATGATCACAATGGCTACTGACACTTTAGAAATTATCTGAAATGCAATGTATTCTAGGTTGTGGACTGGTAAGTTTAGCCTACTAAACAGTCTGTCTTTCTTGCCACATACAGCTACACCTCCATGGCACTGTTCTTTCAACATATGTGTAACACGACTAGTGTTATCATACGACATACATCTTGGCTGATGATACCATTTGTAATCACTCAAATCCATATCACAATCGAAGTCTCCATCACTCCATGTTTCTGTCAGACATATGAAATCACATGACAACATTTCCTTGTTTCTCTTCAAATCCACAAAATGTGCTTGAAGACCTTGAATGTTATGCATTGCAATGCTTGTACAATAGGTTCCACCGTACCTTGCAAGTTCAATTTCATCAACACTATCATTGCTTTTTTCATTATCAATGTATAATGGCATTTCGCTTATTGCCTCAGCCACTTTTTCATTGCAGTAAATAAATTTTTCATCAAATCCTTCGATTATTAAGCCATTTAATGACACCACTCTGCTCAAACTAACATAAGCTTGTCCTGCTGAAAAAGTATGTTCTAAACATACAACAGCCTTTTCTGTAGTCATTCCTTGAACCTTGTGAGATGTACATGCCCAAGCTAACTTAAGAGGGAACTGGTGTCTCACAAAGACCTGAGTCACATTGTCTTCTACCATTTCAATACAAACTACATCTGTAGAATTACCAGTGGACTGCTTCTTCAATTTTGCTCCAACCTTCTCATTATCAAACTTAACTTTCACAATCTTTGGCGAGTGTTCATTCGGTAACATCACTATTTCAGAGACAGTTGCAAATACTCCATTAACAAGTCCATCAGATACATCAAGATTCCTTGTAAGCATGACTCTAGCACCAACACCAAGCCACAAGCAGTCAGATAAATTTGTACGTGACGATTTCTTTACTGATTTCACTGCAGGTATCATTTTCCCACTTTTTGCATCTTTCTGGAAATCTTTAGCAAGAACACATACGCATTCTGAACACTTCACAAAAAGAGTCTGTCTATTATACTCATCCACCTGTTTATTGCAAGCATAAATATGCAGAGCATCGGTCCAATCTTCTCCAGTTTCACGTGATTTTAGCAAAGCAACATCTTCACTTTCTAACTGCTCTTTCTTCTTTCTTACACGCAACCTGTTTAAAAGTTCAGCAAACTGCGCATCTTCCTTTTGCCTCATAATCTCAGTCAGTTCCACTTTGACAAAGTTATCATTCCACAAATCACCTGTTACATCAATCTGGTACAAAGATTTTCCTTTCACAGGGGGCAATTGATAAAAATCACCAACAGCAATTACGCTCACATTCCCAAAAGGATTATGATTACGAGATTGTTTGACCTGTCGAAGACGACCATGAATATAGTGCAACAGTTTTTGATCAACCATTGAAATTTCATCAATAATTACTATTTGTAGTTGCCTTAATTTATGCCTAAGTGTACTGATCTTTTCTTCACTCAGTGGTTGATACGGCAATCTCACATTTGTTGAAATTGACAAAGCACTATGGATGGTAGCACCATGGATATTATATGCAGCAACACCTGTAGGCGCCATAAGCAGAACTGATATATCATCCGGAATCTCCATCATTCTTCCAAATAGTCTTGTTGCTTCATAGTAAATACATTTAATCAAATGGCTCTTTCCTGTACCTGCTCCACCTGTCACAAATACATGAAATGCTTCTGGATTTCTACCACTGATTTTATCCAAACACCACCGTCTCACTTTATAGAAAACTTGTCTCTGTTTGACATTCAGACACCTTAACATACTCATCGCTTCTTGTTTGGAAACTTTCAGTGAATGTGGTTCAATAGTACTTTTCCTATCATTATCTTGATTAGATTTCAAATCAGGAATATCACACTCATTCTCACTATCTTCTTCTTGTGGTTGTTTCTGTGCATTGCATTCAAGTCTTTCCTGTTCACTTTCTGGAGCTATTAATGCCCAAGCATCTTCCAGTGGACCAAACTTTTGTAACATTTCTTCAGCTTCGTCTATGGGTTCAGCATTAGCCTCATACAAAGACCGGTTACTTTCCACAATATTCATTACAGATTTCAGCACACCATTCAACTTAACACTACCATTTCTATAGAATTCCTCATATGCTTCAAACTGCTGTGGTTTAAGCTGACCATCAATACGATAAGGAAGATATAATTGCAATATGCTTTGATAGTACTTCTCTGGATATTTTGCTACTGAAAATCTTGGGAATCGAATAACTGCTGGATCTGTCCTACTACGTTTCTGTATGTGACCTAAACCATTTTTCAATTCATGTATTGGAGAACGACTTGCTTTGGCCATGTTGCTGTATATCACTCTATAGTCTGAACAAAATGTCGCTAAGCACATTGCTTCAAAGTGATCACTTTGTGGTCTAGCTAGATACCTATCAACTCTACTGGTCATCCAAATACTATCATCATCTTCATCACATTTGTTTTGAATTACACTAAGGGGCAAGCTCATTCTGATTGGATTTTCTCCGACAGGTACAAACTCTACTTTCCTTGATCCTTCCTTCAATCTCAAATTACAAACACGATAAACTGCTTCTTGTGCTGATACTTCACGATTGTGTAAATATACACTGCCAATTTCCCTCATACTCTGTCTCGCATCCAAATTACCATTCTGCACTTCAGCTTGGGCATGTGACAATAATATACCCATTTCACGTTCAGCTTTAGACATGTAGGACACCACATAAGCTACACAAGCATAAGCATCACAAATGTACTGAATGTCCATATTTGCACTCCAACATCTTATCAAATCTGGATTGTACAAATTAACCCATACATCCTGCGGCTGTCTCTTATGAACAATACTGGCCTTCCTACTCAAGACATTGTTAGCTTTCTCAAAATCAGCTTGTGTTATATTTACGCTTCCAAATAATTCAGTAGTTGTCATATGTTCATTCTCAGCTTTCTGTATTGCAGTCCATACTGATTGCAGCAACTCCTTGGCTTTATTTCTTTCATTTATGTCATCTTCCTCACTTTCTTTCTCATCACCCGTTGGCATATAGGGATCTGTTATGAATGTCCTTTCAGATGGAGGTCTGGGGAAATTAAATCTGCACTCAGTACCCTTCTTCTTACATGACTTAGAATGCTTTTTGCTGTGTAACTGCACATGACTGATGATTTCATTCAACTGTTCATCCTGCTGTTCTGATGGTAATTTGCAACTGATGTATTTGTCAATGAAATTAACAACATCCTTGTCACTATCATGTCCCAATTTAGGTGCACCTTCAATCCAAAAGAGACAATGTGTATGTGGTGACCCTCTCTGTTGGAATTCTACTCTGTAAAAATAGTCCTTGACTCTTCCAATTGGTTCAGCTTTTGACATAATTACATCTTTCAAAAATGTGTGAAATCGTTGATCAAACATTCTAGCAGCAGTTACAGGATTACTTCGCAATATGATACATTTCTCATTCCAGTCCAAATCTTTTACATCTCTAGAATCACCTTGCTGTCTTAGAATTGTATTGATAACCTCAGGCCACCGCATATCTGCTGCAGAAAATGAACAAAACCATGTTGGTATTCCAAGTTGTCTGATCATAGCCAAAACATCCTTCTGTGCTGCTTGCCAATATGGTGGTGTACCACGAATTGGTTTCAGAAATTTATATCCACTGTCTGATTTCAAAATATCTTGTAGTTGGTCCCTGTCATTGATCATGGAAGCATTAACACTTTCACCACTCTGCTTTTTATCACAACTCTTACGCAATGCAATAGAAACACTAGACATAACTTTCTGAATCTCAGATAAGTATTGAGCATAAAAGATGTATTGGGTAGTCTTTGCAAATCTGTTATCTACATTCATTAGTCGATTGTGCAAGTATCTACACAGAGTTAGCTTCACTTCACGATCATCATCAAATGTAGGCTGACCTATCGGAAATAATGCTGGAAAGCATTTTGCTTCATTACCCTTTTCCATTAATATTCTGATTGGACTATTGCCTTCACAAGGTGCAACACATATGACTTCGTCAAAATACTGATCAAGAATTTCTTGGCCTATGTTACTTGGCTGTAGACAACTGTCTAATGCAACACCCCGCAAACGATCATCATTTGTTTCCTCCTCATCATTTTCCTCATCTTTACTGTCACTTTCTTGTTTGGCATCATCCATTTGCTGCTCCATTTCATCAGTATCTTCACATAATGGATTCTCCCATTCAGTATTTATTTCAATGTCACTGTACCATTTATTATTGTGGTTAAGGTACTTCAAGGCACTCTCAACATACTCCTTATTTACAAACTGATACTGATAATATCCTTTAAAAGTCAATTTTCTCTTCAATTTGACTCGAATCAACTGATTGTCATTTTCGGGTCTTGGTAATACATTTACTGTGTCTGTTACATTTGATGGTACACATACTACTGGACCTTTAACACCATGCTGTCCGCCTTTAGGTAACGCAATCATTTTCATGAATGGTACATTTATTGCAATGAGATGTTCTTCTAGTGTATTCAAACGAGCCAATTCATCCGGGATGTCAATCAGGTTTAAATTGTTTAGACTTGCTTCTGCAGGTACTTTGTTTGCAAGTAGTTTTCTATGACATGTGTAGCATATCCACAAATGCGATCTACTTGATTCTCCAACAATACATTTTAAGTCACAATTTTCACTACACACATGCAGAAACTTATCACTAACATACACGTGGTGTTCATACTTATGTTTATTGCATTTCAAAACTTGTTTTCGAAAAAGAAGTTTTTGACAGCATGCACACACATATTCCGGTCCTTTAGATATGTCTTCTCTAAATTTTGTTGTCACAAAACACATTTTACGTCTCTTTTCTTTGTTCATAAGGTCACGTCTGTGATTGTTGATTATCATGTTTCTACGGTATCGATGATTACTCTTATATTTTTCTTTCCCATACTTTATCAAATTCATTTTGTATGAAATAACACAGCGATACTTCTTTTTGATACTTGCAATGAGCTTATTTCTATATGAAATGTTATCACGGTATGTACATTTCATTCTGTTAATTTTCTTTTGCCTGTACACGTCGTCATTCTTGTACTTTAAATTTCCAGTATCAATTAGGTTTTTTCGATATTGAGAATTTAGATGGTATTTTGTTTTACCACAATTAATTAGCCTTTCTCTGTATGCAGAATTTTCACGATACTTTGCTTTTCCACATTTAATGTGCTTTTCTCTATATTCCGAATTATCAAGATAGTGTGCTTTTCCAGAGTTCATTTTTTTTTGTCTATATGCAGCATTACAATGATACTTTGATTTCTGACTGTTCATTAAATTTTCTCTATATTCAGCATCATTATGGTACTTAGCTCTAACACGGTTTATTTTGGTCTCTTTATGTGTAGCATTTGACTCATACTTTCTCTTTTCAGCATTTAGACGCTGTGTTTTATACTCAGTGTCATCACGATACTTTATGTTCAGTGCTTTCTTCTTCTTGTCAGCTTTTTCTTTGTATCTCATTTGATCATAGATTCTTTTTCTTTGCTTAGAATCATCTTTACAAAACTTATTTTCATCTTTTAATTTGTCCTTAGGATTTCCTGCATATCCTGATCTCAATGTTGTCCCATCATGAGAACTACATTTGCTCGTTTTCATGCTTTTGTCATCCTCCTTTTTATCATTTTTTTTCTGTTTGTATCTCTCCCTAGCCTTTTCTCTTGCAATTTTTTTCTTCAATCGCACATTAACACGTTTCATCCTTTTACACTTTGTATCTTTATTGTGTCGGTCACTCTTATCACTCTTACCAGCAGTCATATTTCCTTTCCTCAATTCTCTTTCATCATCATTTGATACTTTTTTGGAGATTTCTTGTGAATTTCCCTTTGGTTGACCATTTACATCAGAAACAGAGTTTCTTGTAGATTGACAAACTGACAAAACAACATCATAATGAACTCTTTGCTGATGATACAAATAAATTCCTTGCTCTGATTTCAAAGTCTCTCTTTCTAGGATACTCCGAGAAAATACATACCAATGATTCATATCATCATATGTGTATATATCTGTACATAGCATATGTGCCATTGCAATGATCTCAACTTCTGTAGCCCATATTCCAGAAACAAACATTCTCTGCCTGGTGACATATTCTTCCACATTCCTGTACCCTTCATGCAGAACACCATTAAATTTATCTCCACTTTGCAACAAGTGATTCACAGTAGCCATCCGTAACTTCAAATGATTATCTTCAGTTCCCGATACACAAAATGAAACTGCCCTGAAAAAACAGTTGCCATCACCTTTGATTTTCTTTACGCAATTAGGTGGTCCCATCACCTCACAATCATCTGAACCTCCATTGCCTTTGCGGAGTACATTGATCAAGCCATGTATCTTACACAGTTCCTTCTTCTTTGCATGTGTCAGTGGGGCAAAATGAAAATTGTGCAACTGAATCACTTCTTTGATTTCAACATCACTAGTCTCATCACATTCATTAGTGTCATTTATCATGTGAAAACTATCTGTGACATCTCTTGAACAACTAGTTGACAAGCCACAAGGATCAACCTTTGCTTCAGAACCAATTCCTCCAACCTCTTTTGCTGTACTCTGACCAGTCTTGTCCACATGCTCATTCCCCAGTCTACTACTACTGCAAGATCTACTATCCATGTAATGCTTAGGCTCATCATCAAACCACACAGATACACCTGTAATTTCAAACTGCTCATTATTAGACAAACACATAGATCTTGCCAAATCAGTACAATACCTGTGGACATCTTGCCAATCAGAAACACATTTCAGCAAACTTCGTCCTTCACTAGCCATACAGCCTTGTTGATTTCTAGAGTGAGAATCAAAAACATAATACATCCCATCTTGAGCAATCACAACAAATGTATTTTCATGGAAACATATGAAACATGCATAATATTGCTGAAGTGTCTGTTCTAGTGCACGATTCAATGGCATCATATTAAATTCAGGCAAATTGCACTGATCTCCAAATGCACCACATACAGGATCATGAAACTCCATATTGAAATGATGATTCAGCAGGTCTAACTCATTTGGCAATTCATTTACCAGCAAATAATCATGAGTAACTGTAGAACTTCGAGACAGGTGGCTATACAATTCATTTCCAGTATTCAGTGTAGTATCCATATCTTGACAAGACCAGTCTTTAAGTTGTTTTATTTTACTTATCAAAACAGCGCACAGAGAATTTGAAACACATTGTTTACCAGAGTTTCCAGCAAATCTATGATCTCCTTGATGAAAGGTTCCCTGCACAATCATTTTGTCCAATTTCCCACTATTCTGAACTGCGCACTTATTCAAACTATTCTTAATTTCATGTTTTTTCTCTTCAACTACATTCGTCATTTTCATTTCTTTACATTTCACTTCACAGCTTGTAGTAGTAGGTGACATTTGTCGTTTTCTATATCTCATTTCATATCTTCTGCTTCGTTTTGTTTGTAACACCTCTTTGTCATCACCTTGCATATCTGCAGCTTCAGACTTTTCTATTTTATCACATTTAACACCATCACCAACACCATCACTGACATGTTTGCGTGCAATACAATTTCCACTTTCCTTTTCAACTGTTTTTGCCAATTCAGTTTTACTTCCATCTACATTGTGTGAATTTGAAGACTGGCCTTTTTTCTTTCTTAATGAATAACCACCTGTCTGCTGACATACCAGTTGTTTTCCTTTAGTCGTCAATCCTACAGTACATGTACTTTCTTCAATGCCAATTGAACTTGTCTTTCTTCCCCGTCTACTTACATCATTTGTCTCATCATCCCAGTTGCTATGTTGTGCACATGTTCCAATACACGTCTGCGGAACTACATCATCTATAGTGCATATCTCCTCAATAGTCATCTCAAATACATTGTCATCTGTTGGAATACCAAGATCATACAAAAGAGATTGAGAGTAAGTACTCTTACCACATTTACGACACATCCATACCACTGCTCTGTTTGCCAACAATTCCTCCATCTTCAAGAAATTCATACATTTGACATGGTACCAAATGTTACAACCATCACATTGCACTTTCCTTTCAAACACATTGATAGTCTGATCACACAACCAGCACTCTTCATTGGACTGATTTCCTTTGACGGTTTGATCATGTCTGTGTCGATCACACGTCTGACTGTTTTTGCTTTTTAGTACTGATTTCCCAACTTTCTTGTCCAGAATTGTCTGCCTCCTTTCTGGTGTTTTCATTTCAGAAGCACATGTATGCTTCACATCTTCCTTCACAACTTTTGCAAAATTTCCATTACTCCTCTGCCTTTTCTTATTTTTGTTTTCTGTACTGACATCTTTCATCTTCTTCAAAACAAATGAAAGACTTCGCTTAGTCTCACGGAACGCATTTTTTTGAACCTTTTCATGGACTGCTTTTTCTTCCTTGCTCATCCACAATTCAATCCTCATTCCATTTCTTCTTCTATTATAGGATTCCTTGCAAATATCTCTTCTTCTTCTCTTTCTACTAACTTTGATATGTTTCTTTCTTGATCTATTCTCATGCTGATCTTGCATACAACTGCCATTACTATTTCTGGTGCAGTGCTTTATCTTCAAGTAACCATGCAACCTCATCATACCTCTCTGATTATGAACTCTTCTCTTGGTCAACTTCAACAGTCTTTTTCTCCTCATTTCTTTTACCTTCAGTCTCAAGTCGCCACTTGCATTCTTGACCTTTTTCAACTTTCTTGCCATTATCTTTGTACACTTTTCTTTCATGTCTTTGTCAAGATTATCTTCCTCATGCTTCATACCACCATTTTGGGTCTTCTCTTCATCAATAGCATCACCTTTTGCCTCTATATCATCGCACTTCTCTTTAACCTTATTCCATTTAACATAACCTTCTGCACTCATTTCAACTGTGATATTCTCTACTGCATATTGCACAATACACTCATTCTTCTGCACTGACATAATCACTGCTTCATCACTTTGCTCAGCTGTTTGCTCATATCTTTGTTCAGTTTCTTTGCTCATGATCATTGCTTGCTCAACTTCATTCAGTATGTCATCATCAATTTCATTGTCTTCATTATGTTCATTAATTCTGCCAGGATTAGCGGCCTGGTGAGCCCCGCATTCGTTCATCATACATTTACTATATGTCTTATAATTGTTATCATAATGTTCATTCATTCTGCCAGGATTAGCGGCCTGGTGAGCCCCGCATTCATTTATTCTGCCAGGATTAGCGGCCTGGTGAGCCCCGCATTCATTCATTCTGCCAGGATTAGCGGCCTGGTGAGCCCCGCATTCATTTATTCTGCCAGGATTAGCGGCCTGGTGAGCCCCGCATTCATTCATTCTGCCAGGATTAGCGGCCTGGTGAGCCCCGCATTCATTCATTCTGCCAGGATTAGCGGCCTGGTGAGCCCCGCATTCATTCATTCTGCCAGGATTAGCGGCCTGGTGAGCCCCGCATACAGAGGGTAATGGAATGAGTGATGATGATGGGAGGGAAGACGCAGAAGGAATGGAATGAAATGCTGGCATGGGTGATTGGGAAATGAAATGAGACACAACACGGACAGACATGAAAAATGGAGAACTCCTCTTCTCCAAGCCTCGCACACACCTCATAGACTCCCTCTTCACTTTCATGGTAGCTCTGTTTTCTGTAGAAATTATTAAGAAATCATTAACCAATAGCATGCTCCTAATTAAATTCTCAACCCTAAAGGAAAGAATGTTGCAACCTGATGCCACTTTTTTCTTGATATCTCAATAATGGTCAGTCATTGCCTGCATGTTGAAAAGAGATGAATCTGCAATGAAGAAATACCTTTGATTTTGTTAGGAAATAAGATCTTGACTCTCCACTGACAATGATAAACTTTGTATATGAAGTGGCATCTGGATACTACATCCCCCCCCCCCAGCTAATCATAAACTACATGTAACCCTACAAACGGGGCTGTAAATGGCTCTCTTTTGCATTTCATCTCAATCTGTCGCCATTGTAATGGCTACAGAGGAATGAATTCCATATGCAGACTCCACCTCAGACCTGCAGAAAGTCTATGGGCCATGACAAAACATATTTTCAAAGAATAACTTGAAATGTTTTTCACTCCTAAATTACTTTTGCTTCATCAGATTTACAGCTTATGGTACTTTTCAAAACAGGGCCATTTACAACCTCATTTGCCAAGCTACGTGTAACTAGTATTACTACAGAATTTATTTCAGCTTTCATTTAATATCTGTTTCCAACTGTCCAAAACTGCTGTGTAGTACCTGCATTTAGTACTTTGTAAATCATTACTTATTAACACACGACACCTCCACGGATAGATTTTACTTTAATACCCCCGCTTTTAACCCCATGCACAACCCCTACATGATGTATCTCATCTGAAAGAATATATCAAAGATTTTCCTATGATTCAAATTTGTTCAATATGTCCACACTAACAATAACTAACATCATGATTTCTCATCAGACTTTCACTTTTTGCTTGTTATCACAAATATATAGGGAAAGATCTTACTTTCATAGTTATCCCCTAACTTTTAACCCCATGCACAGAAACTATGGATCTCCTCTTAAGTTTTTCCTAAGAACTTAAAAAAAAAGAAATTCGGGAAGAGTTCCATACATGGACAATACTTAATTTTCCCTGTAGTGACCTACAAGCCAGGAAAAGCAATAACATGTCCTTAAAAGTTGAATTTAGCAGTGAAAAAAATCAAAGCATTTACTTAGAAAACAGCATTTTTTCAGAGCAGTCTCATAAGGTTTGTGTCCGTGTATGGAACTTTCCAAATTTTCTTTATCCTAAATTCATGATTTCTTATCAGAAATTCACTTGTTGGTGGTTGATAAGCTGTAATAAGGAAAATAGAGTAGAGGTATAGTACAATCTTACCAAATATAGTGCAATTATTAGACTGTTAATGTAAAATCTTACAAGACAGTACCACATCCACCCTTAAATTTATAAATTCGCGTGCCTACGTAACTAATGGCAATCATGGAGCGTGATAACCGCCAATTGGAGGTGTTTGCACAGTACTGAGCAGAACCAGAATAAAAAATAACCCTATGATGGTATGTACAGTATAAATACAGTTACATACATGTAGTTTTCACATGTTTAGTCGTTAGGCATGGCAAATGAATTGGCATTACTTAGGCCCATTATAACACGAAACATGAACCAACCAATTACAACATAAACAAAGTTGACATGTCTCGACAGTGAGAAACTCAAAGCCTTCTACATTAATAGTCAAGCAATATACAATACTTTACTGCTTCATTTTCATCACTAAATAATAAGAAAATACTACGAAAGCAATCAGTTCTCATCATCACCAACCGCTGCGTACCTTCCAAATGCAAATGTCCATACACATCTTGTTCCCAATTCTTGATGCTGTAAAACGAATCACATTCCATCAGGCTGTAGCGGCACCATACTATACGTCAACAGCTAGCTACCTTGCCAGCGCTGGTGGAGGTCAATGCACTTGATTCAAATAGAGGGCGCACTGTATAAAAATACAGACCTCGCTTTACCAGTTTAGCAGTGCGATATAACGTGCCGTGCGTCGAAAAGTTCTCTGCCATCCTTCTGTTGCGACAATTTTGTTCACAACATTTAAATTCATTCATTAAATATTGACCGATTAACCTTAATAATGCTGGCTGTTCAATATAGTCAACACTTAACAAATGTTCAGCCCAGAAATATCACATATCGGTAACACCTGTAGCTTGCTGCGTACTAGATACTACGTAAAAAGCGCGCACAATAATAAATCTTGAATCACAAATATAACTGTCAAACCGATTAATCTCAAACATTGTACTTCTGTAAACAGGGAAATGTTCATGATCAAAATTGATATGACATCATCATGACGTCATCATATGTTACATAATAGTGACTTAAAATATATAGGCCCGACCTGAGTCCTATATCTTCATATCTGTCCAACTGTTTTTGACCTCAAAAGTTGCATATCTAGAAACAGTCTTAAGTTAAATTATTGTTTCAAGTAATGTGACGATAAATTACGTCATTCTCTTGTCATGACATCATGAATATTTAATGAGACAATTTGTTGCCACCATATCTCAACAGTTAAGTGTACAATAACCCATCATTGCAATTTTTTGCACATTACATCATGGTCTGAAGGTGTGTCTGCTGGAATGTCAAGGTCATGTGACCTTCACTTCCCGTGGTACCGGAAGTGTAATTATTTAAGATTAGAATCTCAATATTAATAGTTACAGTTGTTTGTTAAGGCCAAAAAAAAAAGTCTCCAGTTTTTGGTATGGAGCTTGGCCCAAAAGTGGTGCGGCGACGCAGCTTTTTTTTTTTTTTTACCTGTTTTTTTTTTTTTTGGCTTCAAATGTCGGCTGATGACTGCAAATGGTGCCCGACTAAACTTAGTGCAAATATATGGGAATCCAGAGAGGCCACATAAATCTTATTCTCGATCATAACCCCTTCTAAAAACACGTTAAAATTGTGCAGCAGCAGAATTCCAGTCAAACCAGTGAGTTTGGCGGTTTTGAAACATCATCTTGTATTGAAAAAAAACTTTTTCATTTTGCCGACGCGCATGGCTACGGCGACGCGCGCGCATACCAGAAACCGGAGCCTTTTTTTTTTGGCCTAATGATATAATTTATACCGTTCAATAGACACCGTTCAATAATACCGTTCAACAGGTGGCGCCCTTGCATTCAATGCAAGCTCTGTCATTACACTATCGTTGTGCATTTCCATGACAGTACTGTACAAGTACATGTGACACTGACAGTCGACTCAACGTGTTTTTGAAGTGTAAACAAAGGTAACTTAACTTAAACTTAAACTTAATCCTATTGAGCATAACCTGTTCACAGGTAATGGAAATCTGTTCGACCATGTCCGCATGGATCCTTTTGTTGTTTCCTCTTGTGTGATATGCTTATGATTATCATTACGGTAAGTGCAGTTTTCAGATTCAGGGGTTCATCTGTTCAACAGTTCAACCATGGAGGAAGGACTAGGTGAGGATTGATTAATACTGGGTCATTTGTTATGAATGAGGTGTCTAAATAAGCATAATTAGATTCTGCTTCCAGTTGCATACTGTAATCTAAAATATGACATACATTAAGAAAGTTACAAGCTCCGCTGGAGGGGGGGGGGGCGAAGTGACTTTTTTTAAGTGTTTAGATAAGTGTAATGATACAAGTGTAATGATAATCAGGCCTGTGTGTATAAATTGCAACCTTGCAGACCTTCACTTCAGCCATGGGAGAGGTAGCGGGGAGCTTTTCAATCATCCACCAACTTTAGTTACAATTTTTCAGGGCACCCCCTTAAAAAAAAAACCTACAAAATAAAGAAATACAATTTCCCCAAATAGTTATAATAGTAATTCTATTTCTAATTAACTATAAACAGTTTTTAAAAGGCTTTATCCTAATTAAGTCTACAGCTGATTTAATATTCCTTCATGCAACACTAACCAAAACCCAACATTTGAAATTACTAAGATACCATCCCCCCAACAACAAAATACATTGCTTCAGACAATTTCTAAAACTACATGTATATATGTTTATGTTTTTGTATATGTTTATGTTATGTTCTAAATAATACAGATGGCTACTGTCAATATCAAGGTCCTCTCAAGAGAGAAATACAAGACAAAATTTGCCTACGCAATTCAAGTTCTGACCGACCAAAATGAAATCAAGGAGTTGTACCTTACAGACAGGCTACTTGAATATTTCCAACAAGGTCTGTTCTACCGACTAGTGGCATGCAATAGCTTCATAGTTTCATCAACAAATATGCCAGCTCTCAAAGCAACAGCTAAAACTAGAGTAAGTAACATAATATCATTAAAATGCAAAAGAAACTGTATTAACCATACATGGTACATATTGAATTTCACTCCTCAACCCCACATAGCCTACTTCTGTTCATGTATTTATCAACTCAAACTGAAACATTTTCATTTTGAATGCTAACCTCCAATAATAACACATTTGTAAACATGTAATTATACAAGAATAAACACTTCTTTCCTTAGGTGATTTGCACAGGACCATTTCCAACATCACAAGAAATAGAAGAAGAGTTCTACCATGCAAAGACTGTCACTATTCAAGAAGCAACAACACTGCCAAAACGAAAGAGAGTCAGCGTTGAAGGAATCATTAAGGCAGTTAGTAAACCATACAAACTTATGATATTACTATTATGTCTTTAAATATTTCAATTTAATTAATTATGTGAGTAATTAATACAACATTTATTTACAAATTACATGTCTCATTCTTCTTTTCAAGTTAAACTTTCATATACAGAAGTTTATGATGAAATTGTAAATGTCAACACACAACATCCTACTGCCTACTGCCTCATAGTAAAATGCAACCAAACTCTTTGACTTTATTGCAATCAGGTATCTCCTGTTAAGGAAGGACAGAATTATCAGCTCAAAACTGTTGACATCACTGATCAGAAACAAAGAACAACTGTCCAAGTGAATCTTTGGGGGAGTTCATCCCAAAGTCATGTTCCACCTGTTGGCTCACCAGTTCTACTGGAGAATGTTGAAATTTCTTCATATAAACAAGACACTGTCCTCAATGCCACACAAGAAACAACCTTTGTGGTAAGATTTCTTTTATATAACTGTACCCCTAGTACACCTTATTAATTACAAAACTACCCCAACGTTTGTATGACATACATAATGTCATATTTCATATCTTGTTCTATATTAGTCACAGTCTTACTATGTTTTTCCTTGATACCCCTTAAATATGATGAACTCAACTATAACATTTACATCTTTATAAAAAATAATTGTTGATATTGTTTTCACAAGCCCCACTAACACTATACTGCCTACTCTACTCAACAACCAACTAGCTGCCAGTACAAAACAATTTTTAATGACCCAATTTTCTAGTTAGATACAATTCCATGGCAAAACAAAACCCATCACACTACTGTTCCTTAGTTTCCTTCAGAAACATGTGTTCACCCTTAAACTTTCATCCTTCTAAGCAGACAAGAGAAGAGCCAAGTTCACAACAGACGGTGGCAGTCAATGCATTCTCTGAAGAACAGAAGTAAGACTCTTAGTGATCATTTCTTCTACCCATTAACTTAGTAACCTTACTTTTTTTTTATCTTTCCATGATCTTAAGAATTAAACACCAAGCTATGCAAATAAACATGTACAATAAATCATGATCAAAAATTTTATTTTATGATGCTGTTTGATGATCATGATATTTTTTATATGCTAGCCTATTTACAAAAGTTACACTTGTACAAAAAACAATTGTGTGCAACTCATGCACATGTGAAGCAACTTCAGAAATTTACCTAAATCACCTAAATCCACAAAATATATCAATCACATTTCAGGTCTATAACTAAGTCTTGTGAACACTTGCCAATATTCAACCAAAAATGGACAACTACAGTTACCATCTCACAAAATCTGTAAGTTAACTTGCTAAGTAATCTTGTATCTTTCACCATAAATATTTTCAGTGGCGACATTACGATCTTCACTGATGACAACACAGAGTATGTAACAGCTCCAGATATTCTCAACGATGCCCTCCATATTACCGAAGTTACTGAGGCACACCCTCTACTCCCCATCGTTCTAGACATAGAGTTTCAAAATGTTGCTGGAACAAACAAAGTGACTTCAATCACTCAAACATGTGACAGGTCAGTAACATAAATGTCCACATGATGTAGAAAAGGCCAAAGCATCAAACATTATTTCATACACAGAGACCATGTCCAAATTGCATTTCATATTGTCAGACCTCAATACAAGTCCTGCGTATATATTTTTCTCTCCAACTTCTCTTTTCAACTGTAAGATAAGGTCAAATTTGGGTCTTGTTAGTGCAACTTTCATGAAGTACGTTAAGCCCTTTCATTTATGAAGTAGAAAGTGTGAAAATAGCTTATGTTCAGGAGATACGATTTTTTTTTTCAATAATAAACCTTGAATTGTCATAAATATCAACACCCAATGACGCCAAGATGACATAATTACAGCGGCGTCATCTAGTAAGCGCAGATATATGTGTAAATATTGAAGTACTGCCCTCATATATGGGGTTCAACTTGTATGCCAAGTTTCAAGGTACAGTTCAGTTCAAATCTTGAAATACCACGTCTTGACTTAAGTTGGAGGGGAACAAAAAAAACAAAGAAAATTTACAAGAAAAAGAGAGAAACAAAGGTCTTCACCCTTTTTACCGGCTTCAGTGATGCAAAGTTTAGACCCCAACAAATATTCAATAGTTAATAGAATAAAACCCAAGTACAACCCCCACTTGCTTCTATTCAAATAGTAAATACTTGTTTTGTTACTGGTTTCTTTTTCTTTCTCTTTTCTTTTACCATACAGGAATGAAGAGGAAGAACACACAGACGAAGAAACTCTGTAAACATTGTACTCTGTAAAACATTGTACATGTACATACCATTACTACAAATTTGATGTGATTTTTTCAAACAACTTTTAAAGCCTAGTTCATAAAAAACTACTGTTATATTTTATCTATCAAGTAAAAAACGACAAGAGAATCTGACTGGGTAAATTTTAAACAATTTGGGGTTGAACTAAGAAAAATTATTACAGCAGCATTTTAACATGAAAAGTAGAATAATTTGGTTAATTTCTGATAAACGATGTACAGACATACCGACACATTTCCCATGCTTCAAATAATTGCCCCAAATCATTCCAAAACGGTCACCATCGTCATGATCAAAGCAAGCATGTGGCCGGTATGTACAGGGAATTATGACCTCTAACCCAGTTACTGCCCGTCCACGCAATCCCTCTGTAATATATCTGTTGAGGGTAAGTGTGCGTGCCCTGGGTGACAGGTCATAAAGTCCATGTACAGCCCAGATCTGCTTAGATCATGACAACAGTGCCCTTTATTATGAAAACTTGTTCATTGTTTTTCATGTTTGTCACTTCAAAATGAATCAAAATGACTTATCAATCACTGTTCTTGTTAACATTGTAACAGATTAAAAACTTTTACAAATTTGATGTGTTATGTTTTTAAAAGCATTTTTACAGCAAAACTACTGTTGTTAAATTTCAACATCAAAGGAGAATAATTTGGTTAATTTCTGATAAACAATGTACAGACATACTGAAAAATTTTCTATACTTCAAATAATTGCCCAAATCATTCTTAATATAATTACTGCACTGTTTGTATCTTTTTCCAAGTCTGTTATGTTTTATAGAATTTATTTATATATCATTTACTTTTTGGTAACAAACCAACAATAAAAACACGGAACAGCTCTGTGATTGTTCACAATCACTATCTCTAGTTTCTGTTATTTTTTGGCTTTTCCGCATTGTTGCGGAAAAGTCTTTCTTTTTGTTCTGATTTTTTTTCTTTCTTCTTCTTCTTCTTCTTCTTCTTCTTCTTCTTCCTCTTCTTCTTTTTTTCCCAAAACCCCATAGACTTTGTACACGTTTATTCTACACGCCACTTTTGGCATTAATGTTTGTCATACATCATTCAAAGTTAGCATAAGCATAGCCCCTATAGCAAAGATGTGTCCCGAAGATTGACGTCATGGTGACGTCATCGACTAATTTATTATAGATTTTTGAATATTTAATTTTTCCCATAGACTTTGTACACAGAAATTAAAAAAATAATTGTCGATTTTCAAAGGGCATTTTTGACTCTTTGCCAGTAATTCATTAACACCAATCTTTGTCCAAGCAAAGACCCTAATTCAAACAACAGTGTGGAATGATGACGTCATGATGACGTCATCCTGTGTTTATTTATAGGCAATTAAATTGTGACACTTTTAATATTTAAAAATGCATAAGACATCAACCGTACGCGTCCGCAGCATTCTGTTGCCGGCAAGTGGTAGAGCAGGTTAAGGTCTTCATTTCATTCAGTGTGCGTGCAATAGCGTGACCCTTGCTTCCGGTCGAAAAAGGCCCAAACCGGAAGTGGCTTATTATTTGAAAGTGGTAATAGATATGAACTTGCTTTTAACAGTGTTAGTCTCTTGGCCGATACAATTCTTCAAATCATCTACCGATGACGTCATGCAATCTTCGAGCGCCCTCTACCGACAGGTTGAAAATTAGCAAAAATGTATTTTCAATAGATGTCTGTGGCGAAGTTTGTCGGAATCGCCTAAATATTGGTGTATATAATGACCTTGACCCACTTAAGACGTGTGGGAAGTTTTAGGCAAATGACGTCATCAGACCAGAAGTTATAATAAAAAGACCCTTTTTCATTTGAAAATTCCTGAAAAATCAACCATGGCAGTTCTTATATTTGTTTTTACTTTAATTGTCGATTGAAGGGTAGGTCTAAAACATTTCAAAGTTTCGAGGCGATAAGCGAACTCGAACATACCCTGCGCACGCCTAAAACTTCACGTTGACAATACCTCTGCTTCAAAAGATGCACAGGACAGGACGTCCACAATGTACATGTACATGTACATGCACGTACGTTGTACATAGGCACATACATCGTATGTCAGTCAGCCTGCAGCGCACGTGTTGTGAGGTCAAATCCTGTCCACAGTGACCGTTTTAGCCGATTTTCGGCTAACTTTGACAGATTTTCTGAACTTCGGCTGAGAATTACTATGAGAAGGAAAATGAAATCGTATTTTTTTACGCCTGTCATTTGATTGACAATATTCCCAAGAGTTAGAATAGCAAGTAATATTTTATAAGAATGTTTCAGTTTAAAGGAAAATCACTAATTTTAAGGTGCAGTTTTTCTGCTGTGGGATTTTTAACCTATTAACGTTTTCAAGCCACCATTTTCATAACTTGGCGATCTGGAATCGTCATCAAAGTTACAGCCAAGAAAGACCCTCATACAAAAATTATGCCAAGACTAAGACATCATGATGACGTCATCATCAAATGATTTATTATGGATTCATGAATCATTAATTTTTCTCATAGACTTTGTACACAGCTTTCTCCACAAGTCTTTCCCTATATAACACTGATATATCTTACTGAGTAGTTCTGAACTTCGGCTGAGAATTACTATGAGAAGGAAAAAGAAATCGTATTTTTTTTCGCCTGTCATTTGATTGAAAATATTCCCAAGAGTCAGAATATCAAGTAATATTTGATACAAAAGTTTCAGTTTAAAGGCAAATCACGTATTTAAAGGTGCAGTTTTTCTGCTGTTGGATTTTTAACCCATTGACTTTTATGTGTACACGTTTTCAAGCCACCATTTTTATAACTTGGCGATCTGGAATCGTCATCAAAGTTACAGCCAAGGAAGACCCTCATACAAAAATTCTGCCTAGACTATGACGTCACGATGACGTCATCACCTAATTTTTTTATTGATTTTGAAATTTACGTACATATTGTGAAGTCTTATATCTAGAGAAATGTAAGTCCGATTGGGTTGAAACTTGGTATGTGGCTATACCAGGATGTGTTATAGATTAAAAATGAGGTGACGTCATGATGTCGTCATCCTGAGATTTTATATGAATATTTATTTGTTTGGACCTTTTAGCCATATCTCCCGAACGCAACATGCAAAATGCAAAATTCTTTTGACAGATTTTATGTTCATGAATATTCAGGGCATATTATTGATTAAAAAAAATCATAATGCGGAAAAGCCCTATGTTCTGTTGCAAACAGACATTGAGCTCTAGTTTTTTTTCTCTTTTGTTTTTCAGACTTTTTTCTCATAGGATAACACGTGTTTTCGTTCTACAAGTCACTTTTGGCTTTTTTTCAAATCTGATCGACTTCAAACCTGGCACACACATAGACCACCATCTGAAGATGTGCGCCGAAACTTTTCGTCATGCTGACGTCATCACGTGATTTATTATAGATTTTTGAATATTTAATTTTTCCCATAGACTTTGTACACAGAATTTTTTTTAAAAATGTCAATTTTCAGAGGGAATTTTCGACACTTTGCCAGTAATTCATTTACACCAATCTTTGTCCAAGCAATGACCCTAATTCAAACAACATTGTGTAATGATGACGTCATGATGACGTCATCTGGTGTTTATTTATGGGCAATTTAATTGTGACACTTTTAATATTTAAAAATGCATAAGACATCAACCGTACGCGTCCGCAGCATTCTGTTGCCGGCAAGTGGTAGAGTAGGTTGAGGTCTTTATTTCATTCAGTGTGCGTAAAATCACGTGACCCTTGCTTCCGGTCGAAAAAGGCCCAAACCGGAAGTGGCTTATTATTTAAAAGTGGTAATAGATATGAACTTGCTTTTAACGGTGTTAGTCCCTTGGCTGATAGTATTCTTCAAATCATCTACCGATGACGTCATGCAATCTTCGAGCGCCCTCTAGCGACAGGTTGAATATTTTCAAAAATGTATTTTGAACAGATGTCTGTGGCGAAGTTTGTCGGAATCGCCTAAAAATTGGTGTATATGATGACCTTGACCCACTTAAGACGTGTGCAAAGTTTAAGGTGTATGACGTCATCGGACCGGAAGTTAAAATGAAAAGACCCTTTTTCCTTAAAAAATTCCTGAAAAATCAACCATGGCAGTTTTTATATTAGTTTTTACTTTAATTGTCTATTTAAGGGTAGGTCTAAAATATTTCAAAGCTTCAAGGCAATAAGCAAACTCGGACATGCCCTGCGCACGCTTAAAACTTCAGGTTGACAATTACTCTGCTTTAAAACATGCAGTCCACAATATACATGTACATGCACCTACGTTGTACATATCGTATGTCAGTCAGCCCGCGCGCAGCGCACGTGTAGCTGAGGTCAATCCTGTCCACAGTGACCGTTTTAGCCGATTTCCGGCTAACTTTGACAGATTTCATGTTCATGCATAGTCAGGGACGTAGGATAGACACTTTTTGTATAGAATACGCATGTACATGTTCATTCGACCTGGATGAAACTCCTTTACGGCAGTCATTAATAAAACGGTCGAAACAGCTCAGTGTTTGTCCTCACACATTTCTAGTTTCTTTTTTTTTTTCTTCTCCTTTTTCAGACTTTTTCTCCATAGGTTTAACACACGTTTCTTCTGACAGTCCACTTTGCCACTTTTTTAAATCCGATTGATTTCAGACTTGGTACATACTTAGACCACCAGCAACAAATGTTCCTAGAAGAAATTTGTGATCGTGACGTCATCAGGTGTCAGGTTACGTCACATTAAAGATGATTTTTCCCATATGTTTTGTACACGTTTTAAAACACTCCAGTTTGGCATCTTCGTAAATCCGATCGACTTTAAACTTAATTCATACTTAGACCACCACCCACAGATGGTCCTAGACGAAATTCGTGATCGTGACGTTATCAAGTGTCAGGTTACGTCACATTAAAGATGCATTTTTCCCCATAGGGTTTGTACATGTTTTAAAACGCTCCATTTCGGCACTTTCTCAAATCTGATCGACGTTACACTTGGTACACACTTAGACCATCACCCACAGGTGGTCCTTGAAGAAATTTGTGAACGTGACGTCATCAGGTGTCACGTTACTTTACATTAAAGATGCATATTTTCCCCATATGTTTTGTACACGATTTAAAAAACTCCACTTTGGCACTTTCGTAAATTTGATCGTTTTTATACTTAGAACACACTTAGACCACTACCCATAGATGGTCCTAGAAGAAATTCGTTATCGTGGCGTCATGAGGTGTCAGGTTATATCACATTAAAGATGCATTGTTTCTCTATTGGTTTTGTATATGTTTTTCTTTAAAGAAACTTCGGATATACAAGTCTGATTGGGTTAAAACTTGGTATGCATATTCACATGGATGTGTTATAGATAGGAATTGAAGTGACATCATCATCAAATGTCATGTGAAGTCCCTTAAAGGCGCATTTTATTCTTTTTTAGGTCTATATCTACAGAACTAAAATGTTCGATTTGGTTGTAACTTGAGATGTACATATATTATAATGTGCTGTTATAGATGACATTTAAAGTGACGTCACTGATTGTTCATCCCGTGCTGAGAGTATTTCAAATATCCGAAACAGCTTGTGTTTGTCCACAAACACATTTCTAGTTGGCTTTTCCGCATTGTTGCGGAAAAGCCTTTCTTTTTGTTCTGATTTTTTGGCTTTTCCGCATTGTTGCGGAAAAGTCTTTCTTTTTGTTCTGATTTTTTTCTTTCTTCTTCTTCTTCTTCTTCTTCTTCTTCTTCTTCTTCTTCTTCTTCTGCTTCCTCTTCTTCTTTTTTTCCCAAAACCCCATAGACTTTGTACACGTTTATTCTACACGCCACTTTTGGCATTAATCTTTGTCATACATCATTCAAAGTTAGCATATGC